TTATATTATATTCGTAATGAAATGAAATAAAATAAGATAAAATACCTTTTTAAAGAAAATAAAATGTGTATACTGAGAGAAAACATAAAAATCATTCAACTATATTATTAGGCAAAGAATTGTTAAAGAAGTAACACTGTTTCACCTAAGGCAGTCAATATGGCGGAATTAGAGCGAGAAGCTGCCAGCCAATAACTAGTTGTATTATTGGCTTTGTTTCTTTTCTTTTCTAGCAGATAGTTATTAGGAAGAAGAAGGATGACAAAATTGAAAGAATTACGCTCACAGAGAGCCAAAAAATTAAAAAGTAAAGAAACGCAAAACTAGCAGAAACTAGCAAGCAATCAGCTGATCGGTGTATTAGACAATTGAAAATATTTGGCGCGAATTTTTATACCCGAGCGCAGTTGTGCACAAGGGTATTAAAACTTTGTTCACATAACGGTTGTTTGTAACAGGCAAAACGAATCGAGATAGATATAGACAAATGTATACATAAATGATCAGAATGAAAAGAAAAATCGATTAAGCGGTGACTGTCTGTCCGTCCGTCCGTCTGTCCGTCCGTCTGTGCACACGATAACTCAAGTAAAAATTAAGATATCGTAACGAAACTTGGTACGTGTACTTCTTTCGGGCGTAGGACGGATGGTATTGAAAATGGGCAAAATCGGACAATAACCACGCCTCCCTCCCATATAACGGTAATTTTCAGAAATACGAAAACTGCGATATTTTAGTAAATACAGAAGATAATTCACTCAAAATTGATATTTACAATAATTTTCAGACGAAAAATAAGAATATTATATTATATATTATATATATCTTGGTAACCGCTGAACCAATTTCTTCCAAACTTGGCACAGTTGTTGGCCTTGGTATAGCATACGAAATGGCCAAAAATTTTTAAAATCTGAAAATAACCACGCCCACATCCCATATAACGGTAATTTAGAGAAATACGAAATCTTCGATAAAGCAGTAAATATTAAAGCTAATTTATTCTAAATTGATGCTTGCAGCAATTCTTTACCAAGAAATACGTTTATGATAAAATTTTGGGAAATGAGCGTGGCACCGCCCACTTATGATCACATATATGTATATCGGTAACCGTTCTATCAATTTATACCGAACTCGGTATGGTTATTGTGCTTGCCACATAAAAGCAAAACGTTCAAAATTATTGAAATCGGACTAAAATTACCGCTTTTCATATAACGGTAAATTTTAGAAATGCTTGAAACTTCAATATTTCGAAATTTAAGGACGCTAGTTTACTCAAAATTGATAAACCCCGGATTACGATGTAACGGTAGCTTTCGGAAAGGTGGAAAACATATATTTAATATTTGCGCCGGGTATTTAATGTTCGGCTCCGCCCGAACTTAAACTTTCTTACTTGTTGTTTATCCATTTTGACAGCTGTTAGTTTCTGCTAGTTTTTTGGATTAAGAAACGCATTCCATCAGAAATTAGTGTTAATTTGTGATAATTATCTGTTAAGAAACAAAGCTATTGCGTCATGCATTTTGACAGAATATATTCCAGGCGGTTTCTAGGCAGAAGAAGAACATAGGTTTGTATAGTAACCAAAAGTCGGTAATAATTTGTACTGGAACCTGCAAATTTTTACTGGAAAAATGTATGATAACCCAAAAAATTTGCAAGAGAGCTCTGAGTCGAGAGCGTAACAACACGGGAGAGCTGCAAATTCTTGCTAGTGAAATTTTTACTAGCAGAAATTAGCTATCAGAAGAAGAAGAAGAATAAATGTCAAAAGCCCCCATTTATTGAATTGGTTTAGCACAAACATAAGTAAAATTAGTGGAAATCAAAATATTTATGATGTACTGGACTGTGTAAGTGCTTGTGTGTAAAGCAAAGAGTTTAAAACTGATTTATAAATAGTAAAATGTTTACAGCAGAATCTCAAAACAGTTACTGGTTACTTGCAATTTTTTGCTAGTTTTGTGTTCAATAACTTTTTCTGCTAGTTTTCTCTTCTTCTCAATTTTACGCTCTATTTTGCTTTTACGCTCTCGCTGCAATGTTTTACTGGAGAAGTTACTATACCAACCTCATTTCTCACTTGTATGTATGGTTGGGTTTCAGACATTGTGCATACTTACAAGTGACAAACGTTCTTCTTCTGCCTAGAAACCGCCTGGGAGCTATCTGGAAAGTACCTGTCAAAATGTCTAAAATCATGCCAAAATGTTGGACAGGGTGGATAAAGTGATGTAAAAAAGTCAAAAGTTATTAAAATAACTAAAAATGGTAAAATAAGCATTGAATTAAATGAATTCCTGCATTTAAATGCCATTTTAGTATTTTAAAGCATTTTGATCAATAGCTTTTACACTTTATAGAACTTTTTTGCTGTTTTTCAGAATCAGTTTAAAGTGTTTTTTTTTTTATATGAAGTGTAACCCTGTAGCAAATAAAATCAGGTGATCTCAGCTGTGAGGCATTTCTGCAAAACATCCGATTCTTTTTCACTTGTAAGTATGGACAATGATTTTAGATCAAGTTTATTTAAATATGCCAAACAAGTGGCAGCACTGTTGCTTCCTCCTTGAAATTGTTGTTGCATTTGTTTGTTTGTTTACATTTTGTACTGAACAGTTGATTGTTCTTTGGCAAGATTGGTAAAACAACCTACTTATCAATCTTGGTTGTTTGGTACAAACGCAGGATGAATATCTCATATTTAAAAAGCCAATTTTGGCCATTTAAGTGCATATTAGGGGCCAGTTTCTCAATGCCTGGTTAACACTAACCACAGGCCTAACATAGCAATCGACGTTATCGACTCCTTGTTTTATGACATGGTATGGATCACGTTTATAAATATGTTTAACCTGCAGTTAGTGTTAACCAGACATTGAGAAACTGGCCATAAATGTATGTTCTGAAAATGAAGCCCAAAATACAATAACGCAGTGGCAGTTGCAGTTTTTCGAAATCAGCTGTTTTTTAGAAAGTGTGGTGTCCAATGAAACGACTCACAATACAGCAGTGGCATCTGGCAGTACTCGTGAGTTTAGCCCAAATTCTAAATTCACTGCCACTGCCTTCTTTTTATGTCACTGAAGCCTAAAAGGCAACAACAAAAATGTAAACAAACAAAAGGGAATGTAAAAAGCAGTCACTGACAACCCCGTATTGTGTTTGCTACGGCAGTGACTGCCAATATTAACAGTAACAGCTGATTTTAAAAACTGTCACTGCGACTGCCACAGCGCTATTGTATTTTGGGCTTGAATTGTGGGAGTTAACCAACAATCTTTAAAAATTCAATAAAACTTCGTTTTAATGGTGAACAAAGTTTTTGTACTTTTGAAATTGATTTGGGACCCTTTTGGTACTTAAAAATAATCCCAAGTCACAACATAATTCCTAAATTACATAATGATCAGGCTATAAATTGGAGGATTTTCTCATAAAAAATTTAAAATTGTTATTTCAGATTGCAGTCAAAGATATATCAGGCACCTGTATGGCTGATTATTCATGTGAGTGCTATATTCAGTGGCAAAGTTTGTTATGGTTTACTATCATGATTGCTTTGAGGTAACCATACAAAGTCATGCAATCCATAGCATGCTATGATTGATTTTCCGAACACTCCCTAAATAGAAAACGTGTGGCATCATTTCGTTTTGCATCTATTGGGAAAGATAACCGAACTATTCCATTTGTCGCAATTTCCGTTAAAATAAAAAATAGAGATGTCAGTGACAAAAATATATCGATTTATTTCTTTGACCAACATCGCTTTGGGAAGGAGAGTAATTGTGCACTTTAGGGTCCCAAACGAAAATTGATGAAAAAAAACAATCGTAGTGAATATCAAACGACGCGTATTACTGCTACGTACGAATCCGAAGGCGGGAACTGATTTTTTAAACCGTACAAAAATTATTTGCAAAAAACCGTTTCATTCAGCTCAAATTTGTCAGCACTAAATTCAAGTTAATAAATGCATTAAATGAACAGATATTGGTATATGGATGTTCACTATAGTTTACTTTTACTGAATTAGTAAGAAAAAATCGCGAAACTTAATGATTTAATTGAATATTTATGCGAAAACAATGTACAAAAAACCGGTGTCTCCTTTATTCCGCTAGTTGCAGCTAGGTGTGTTAAAAACATGGATGTGCTTGGTGTTTCCAATATATTACTATAATGGCTCTATTATGTATGGCGACTGGTGTCTAGTTACTGGTCTAGTAGCCATGGCTAGCAGTACCGTATTTTGTATTATGGATAGCGATTGAACTCAGTATACATAAAAGCCAGACATCATCCGAATTAACTTTTTTGACATGTACATTTCGAAGTAATTGCCAACATTGCTCCAATGTGTTTATGAATTTATGTGAACAAATAACAAAATCGTCATAACCGGGAAACAGAAAAATGCCCTACTAGACTCAGTAGCCGACAGTCAGTAGTCAATTTTAATACGTAATGCGAATTTTAGTATATGGTTGACCGTCGGCTATCAGTCGCCATACATAATAAGGCCATAAGTTAAGGTTTTAATTAGCGATGCCAATAACAATAAATGTGAAAGATTTTAAGAATTTTAAAATTATAGGAAGTTTAAAATAAATTTTGAATTTTACAGTTTTTCGCCACTAGTCTTGAATTTGACTATGAAAAAGTTAATGAAAACGATGCGAAGTATATAAAGAGTGAAATAGATAGACTTGCGCCAACAGAAATTAATTTGAAAAGTGAAACACAAATAATTGGAGACGAAGTTGCGAATAAAATTACCTCTATTTAATTAAAACGAGTTTTGTAATTAAAATGATAAACAATTTCCGCAAGAAAGAAACATTTTTAAGATGTTTTATAATTTTCAAATTCGGGATGCACCAATATTAATTTGTTTACTTACATTTTTCGTTGTTCGCCAACTTTTGGAATTTTCCATTGCTCATTTACATTTTTATTTTTGTTTTGTTCTTTTTCTATTCCAGTGGCTTTTACCTGATCCGTTTCGAATCGGATTGCAAACCAGGGCTGATCTTCTGCATCAAATATCTAGATTATCAGCCCTATTCTGCATTTCGATTACGTTTCCGCATTCTGCTCCGCAACAATCGTAAATTGGTATTCTGAGTTACGATCGAATCGAAAGAAGAAGAGGAAGAGCGAAAACATCTGGGAAATCAGCTGGTTTCCTAGGAATGTGTGAAATCGAAACAAAACAAAATAAATATTTGCCACCAAATATAGCAGCATATGAAGTTAAAATTTGTAAATATTTTAAAATAACTAAATATATCTAACATCATTGTAATTTAAAAATAAAACTTCGTTTGTGTTTAATTTAAGTGGAAACATAATTATAAAAATGAAATCCCTCTCCGCGGCGTTATTGCTTGAAGAGGACGAGTCCCAGATTGCTGATGCGAAAGTTGAAAGGCGAAGATTTAGGGACATGTTTGATCCTTTTTCAGATGAGTGAAGAATCATAAGAAATTCATCTTTAACTGCATTACTCACCGTTCGAAGCTAGTGAAATTATGAACTCCATAACATTTATATCACTACAGAGTGGAATATTTGAACGCAAATGAATTCGATTTTGGAAGCTGTCAGGAGGGGAAGAACAAAGCTTATCCTTCCATAGCAAATGAAACTCGGGACAACATACGCCCTTCTTTTTAAGTTAGTAAACACGAGTACAATAATAACAAGTAAGAAAGTCTAAGTTCGGGCGGAGCCGAACATTAAATACCCGGCGCAAGTATTTTCCAAAAATTTATAATATTCTTATTTCTCGTCTAAAACTTATTGTAAATATCAATTTTGAGTGAATATTCTTCAGTAGTTGCTAAAATATCGCAGTTTTCGTATTTCTGAAAATTACCGTTATATGGGAGGTAGGCGTGGTTATTGTCCGATTTTGCCCATTTTCAATACCATCCGTCCTACGGCAGAAATAAGTGCACATACCAAGTTTCGTTGAGATATCTCAATTTCTACTCGAGTTATCGTGTGCACAGACGGACGGACAGACAGTCACCGCTTAATCGATTTATCTTTTCATTCTAATCATTTATGTATACATTTGTCTATATCTATCTCGATTCGTTTTGCCTGTTACAAACAACCGTTATGTGAACAAAGTTATAATACCCTTGTGCACAAGTGCGCTCGGGTATAAAAATATCTTTTTTATGTACATATGTATGTACCCTGCAGTGAAACCCCAAACTAGTCAGGAAAAAAACTAGTTTACAACTAGAATTTCCTGACTGAAACCGAACTAGTTCAAAAATGACCAGACTTGTACCAAGTACAATGCGATTTATTCATGCCCTGTTTTATTTGACTTTGACAGTTTATACAATAAAGTACACAAAATATTCTAACTTTTATTTGGGTATATTGTAAACCGCTAAATTGAGTACGTACTCGCAATTATACCATACTTGTTAAATAATGATTAAAATTCACAATGATTATTAATTAAAGCATGTTTTTTGGATAACCGTTTAATGATTAAATGCCGATATTAGCGCCTTTTTAATGATTACTAATTAAATACAAATTTTTAATTAATTCGTTAATTTTAATTACATCATTTTTTTGTTATTTTTGATTATTTTCAATTATTTTTGACTTTTTTTTAATCACACGATTAATATAATTATTTGATTAATTTCAATTATCAATCGACAAGCTTAAGTATAGCCAAAATTAACAATATTTCATAACTTCTTGAATTATTTATTTATTTTATTCTTATCCAAATCTCAAATTTTAAACATTATTACATTTAAAAAAATTTTAAAAAGAAAGGACTGAAATGCGCAAAGTTAATGAATTTAATTTATTTTAATGAAAACTTTTATTTTTATTTTAGTTCACTCAAAAATGAACTAAAGTATTCGTTTTATTTTTAACTAAAATGTTTTCTTTTCCATATTCAATACTATTAAAAAAGATATAAATGTAATGTTTATTGTACTTGAAAGCTTTTACTTTAAATATCATTTAATGGAAAATGCATTTAAATTTATGTTCGAAAGTTTGAAATATTTATGTATTTATGTATTTATTTCTCCTTTTAATTAATACTCAAAAAATTTAACACTAATTATTGGCAAATATAGGACTGCTAAATAAAAATATGTAATGTATTATGTAATGTACTTAATCAAAAGTTTTTTATTGTATATTCATGAATTCATTTTATTTTTTGACTTCCAAAGTAGTTGTTTTGGTCCATAATTGGATTAGTATTTTCTGTCTATTTTGAACTAGTATGAGACTGGTATATTTCTGACCGAAATCTGACAATTGCCATCTCGTAGGACATCCCCATGTTAAAAATACCAGTTGATTGCACGGAAAAAAGATAGTTGGCTGAGTAGTAGGGCATGCGGTTCATACTAGCTGTGAAGTAGTTTACAACTAGTACATTTGACTGCAGGGTATGTATGTACTTATGTACATATATCTATTGATTTTATATAAAAAGAATTGTATTCAGTGCATTTCAAAGTCTTATTTATAGATAATGAAAACAAAAACGCTTGACCTTCTTCATTGAAAACCCGGCACAATATCCCTTTTGGTTACCATTATTTTTCGTATTGCCCGTATTGCTGCTCGCAAAGACATAGAAATCGAGAAAATTCCTTTATGATGACTTTTACTATCATGCACAGTATATTTTACTTAATTTTTGTATAAAATTTTATTATTTAAACATTCTCCGCCAACAAATTTGTGGCTTAAAAAAATGGGCACCCCTATGCTGTAATCCGAAAGTTCGTAGTTACGAATTGGTAGCTCCGTTCCGAAAATTCGAAAATTGGTATGCTGTAATCCGATCGTAACTATCAACGGCGTTGCCAACTAAAATAGTGAAATTCGAAGTTCTTAATCAGCTGCTTTGACAGAAACCAATCAAAATAAATATAATCGCAAGTGAACAGTGAAATAAAAAAAAAAAATTTTAATCGTATTTGAAAAAGCTTTTCCTTAATTAAGTAAAATATAATGGATTCAGTGGCCAGTGCACTTTTGTCTCAGGAGGAAGAACATGCTGCAGTCAACTGTTGCATTAATATACAAAGGAGATTTCTACGAGACAGTTCTGATCCATTTAGCTTAAATGATAAAATGTAAGTTTTATAATTGATTTCACTCATACAAGATTTGTAAAAAATTTCCGCCTCAACAAAGACGCATTTAAAAGCGTTTTAACAATTATGGAGGAAGAGCTTGGGCGAAGTGTAAAATCATCATCGGTGACTCCTATAAGTAGATTGATGGCAGTTTTGAGATTTTTCGCTGAAGGAAGCTACCAACACGGTTTTGGGAAAGATTTTGATGTGGGGTTGGCGCAATCCACGTTCTCAAAAACATTGACAAAAACTTTAAACATCTTGGAGCGCCGACTGTGCCCAGTATGGATTCAATTGTGAATGACGGAGGAGAAGAATAAACGAGCCAAAATGTGGTTTTACAGGAGAACGCAATTCCCTGGCGCTGTTATGTGTGTGCACGGCTCGACCCTATTAAGCTGGCATTTCAGGGTACTATTTTATAATATATATTAATAGAGCCCCCCCCCCCCCCCCC